TACACACACACACACACACTCACAAACACACTCACACACACACACACACACACTCACATACACACTCACATACACACTCACTCACACACACACTCACACACTCACACACTCACACACTCACACACATATTACGAGCAGCGAGATGAATCATGAGGTGCACAGATTTTTTGAACGCTTCTTTCTATGCAGTCGTTACTCGTAACCGCTTATCATGGAGAAGAAAGGAAGTCAATCGATATTTAAATGTTTTAAACAGCCATTCAGATTTTTGTATTTGCTCTGGTGTTCATTTAAGTCAATCACGTCACATTGATTTCTATAATGCTTATGTAACACTGACTGTTTCAAAGCAGCTTCACAGTAATAAACAGGAAAATTACTGAATCAATGATGCGAACTTCATCAAATATGACACAAAGTCAAATTCTAACAAGGCAATCGTGTTATTATTATACTGTCATTTATTTAATACTTAAAGGCTTGATAGGCTATTAATTTTCAAAAATTTGTTTACATCAGTGCAGTGTTTCCCACAGGATTTTGTGGACCTCGGAAATTCTTCCGAATTTGAATAAAAGTTTTGTTCATACCCTGTACAAGCAGCACAGTTTCAGGATTGACATACATCCCGCATGCCTCATATAAATGCAGGATTCACTTAATAGCTTGTTTGCAGTCAGAGTTAGTCGCTTAGCCTATATCCACCACCTCGATGGCAGGAACGTATTTCAATTTAGTTGAAAAATCGCTCCTCTTCATAACATTAGGATCACGTCCAACATATGTCGTGATTTTCTGTTTAATCACGGGATTACAAACAAGCTATTACAAGACTTGAAATTACATATATTTGTGTTATTTTACACTTTAATCTGTTAGGAACATTTGTTTACTTGATACATTTTTATCTTAAACATGCCATTAAAAGTATCTTTGTAATGGTTGAAAATGTTCTTTACTATCATTTATTTGCACTTTAATCTGTTTGAAACCTTTGTTTACTGTTACTGTTTGCTGTTTTATTGTTTTAAAGTATATAAATGCCGCTTATATAAGAAACGAAAGTTACTAAACTTGTTATTAAGAGGGCAGCACTTCATTTTGCATACCATGATAAAAGCTTCATCAATCACCGTGATATTAAACTGTGATAACATCCACATAGAAGTGTGTAATACTAAAGCTAACACAATGCTCTGAGGCTTTTTACCTCTTTATCTACAATGTCATGGAGATCCGGGATGCTCAGGTCGGCTTTCACGAACGGAATCTTATCCACTTCTTCTGGGAACGGCCTGTGCTTGACGTTAAACCGAATCCCTACATCGTTTTTGGGATCCGGTCGGCTTTCAGGAACAAACACTTGCTGCAGGACATAAAGAGACGAAGTATAATCATAACTCTGCTCATCACACTAATTGGATACTAGTTTTGGATGCTGATTCCAAAAAATACTGTGAGTTCTGCTTGAGCATGTCACACTTTCTCATTAAATATGATGCATTTTGTAGCATTTTTGTTGCACCATTTTCACATGTATGACATTATTTTATGCTTATGATTTCAAGGTTAGAATTACAGCCAGTGACAGAAGAAAACACAAACACGAGCCTGATGTTTTCTGCTTCATCTGTTGGTGTTTTACAGCCATAGAAAATTACAGATTTTATGAAAAAGCTTATTTATTTCTAAACTTGTGTTCATGTACAGTTTTTTTGGCATTAAATAGAAAATTTGAACATATTTTTCCAAGTTTGTCTTTAAAACCAAAACTTTTGACAGCTGACTGCTTTGTTACAGTCAAACCACAATGTATTCAGACACATTCAACGTTTCACACATTATCGCAGTTTATTCGCTATAGTTTAGAAAATGGTAATAAAATATGACAAGAACTCAGAGTTAAACTGTGTCAGAACAAATTCACCTGTGTGTGTGTGTGTGTGTGTTTGTGTGTGAGTGTGTGCGCGCGAGTGTGTGTGTGTGTGCGCGCGAGTGTGAGTGTTTGCGTGTGTGTGTGTGTGTGCGAGTGTTTGTCTGTGTGTGTCTGTTCGCGAGTGTGTGTGTGCGTGAGTGTCTGTGTGCGACTGTGTGTGTGTGTGTGTGCGTGCGTGGTGTCTCAGCGCCGTTGGATGTGGTCAGGTCAAAGTGTCTCAATTTTTGGTCCAAATTTGTATAAATTTTACTGGTAGTCCACTGTATGAAGAATTTTTAGGTATAATATATCAGTTTACTTTATTTTGCTATCCTCACTTACATAAATAAACTATAGTGACCTGCACCCACTAGTAAAAAAAAATATAAAAAATGATATCTGGTGTCTGAATAATTTTTGGTTTGTATTTTGATAAATCTTCATTCTTATTTTGTGAAAAAAATAAAAATAAATTTGAACTCAGCATCATCAAATTAGGCAACATTAGGCCTTTTTTGCAAATACTGATTCTGAGAAAACACATTCTCTCACAGGCCATTTTAATTGCTTCTGATTGGCTACTAAAAGCGCTTCTACATTCTGATTGGTGGTTGAGATTGAGTCTAACCTTCTGATTGGCTCTTGCTCCACGAGGCTGATGGAAGAGCTGCATTGTCCACGCGTGTCGACCGGACATGCCTCTGATTAACATGGTGACTGACGGACTGGGGTCTGCTGACACAAACGCAATGATAAGAAATCAGAGTTGAAAATATAGCGGAGGACTGACGTGTGAAGTGTGTCGTTCTTACTCTGCTCGTTCCCCAGCGGCTGCTCCAGCATGGCGAGAATGACGGAGTTATCCAGAACGAAGTATCTGAAGTTGCTGTGGGATGTGGAGGTGAGTCGGGAGTATTTGATCAGTGTGTCTTCATTCAGCAGACTGCAGGGCGATGCGGGGCCGCTGGGAGACGGGAACGCACCCAACACCTGCATTATACTGGAATACACAGCATCACAAATCACAGACGGGCTTGAAAACCAGGGGAGAGAGAGGTCAATGGCAGTTTATGAAGGACGCTCACCATGATAATGTGGCCTCGGCAGCGTCTTTAACCCTCATCGACGCCGGGTTGTGCTCTTTATCACCTTTGTACTTCACTTCCTGTTCGCCGGTTTTGGACTTGCTGCCCGAGATGCCGAGCTCGACGATTTCCAACACCTCGATCAGACAATCCTTAAAGACACAATAAAATAAGACTGAGCTCATAAAATGAAACGCATTTAACCTTACAGATCAAACAACAGATGAGTGGCTAAAACAACAACAAGAAAAATCTCTATTTTCTTCAGACATCTTCATAATTATTCATTTAAACATATTGTGTTGTTTCAAGTACTGCTCTAATCGGTAACAATCTAATTAAAACATTCAAGGCATGTTTTCCACAAATTATTATTATTTTGTTTTATATATATGCACCAATATAATAAAGTATGCTACTGTTAAAAAGTTTCGGGTCAGTAAGATTTCTTTTTTTTTTAAAGAAAATAATACTTTTATTCATCAAGGATGCATTAAATTGATCAGAAGTGACAGTAAAGACATTTATAATGTTACAAAACATTAACCCTGGTATACGCCATATGGTTTTCTACATTTTCTAATTCAGCAAGGACTCATTAAACTGGTCAAACGTGACAGTAAAGGCATTGTTAAAGACATTGTATTACATTTAAATAATTCAAATAAATGCTGTTCTTTTGAACTTTCTATTTCTGAAAATATCACAAATATCACAAAAATATTAAGCAGCAACATTGATAATAATCAGAAATGTTTCGTGAGCAACAAATCAGCATATTAGAATGATTTCTGAAGATCATGTGACACTGAAGACTGGAGTAATGATGCTGAAAATTCAGCTTTGATCACAGAAATAAATGACATCTTAACAGATATTCACATAGAAAACAGCTATTTTAAATTGTAATAATATTTCACAATTTTTACTATATTTTTAAACAAATAAATGCAGCCTTGGTGTATATATATATATATATATATATATTGTACTAAAAAACAATATGCACCTACATACAGTACATGTAAAAATTTAAAACCAGTAAAATGCAAATTTTTTAGAAGATAATGTAAACAAATCACTGAAGCGATGAAGTGGAATTGAATCAAACTTCCCAAATCTATCACCATTTTATAGAGGATTCAATTAGAGGCATCAAAACAGAGTGTGTGAATCTTACCACTGCTCTATTTAGGAAGCTTAATATCCGAATCAAAAGTGGTGTGAAATCATCACAATGTTTCTTGATTTCATCAATACATCTCGAATGTTTAAGCAGCCTGAGCTCGATTATATTTGTCATTGAACTAAATGCCATTTGGCGGTAGGGTTGTGACGGTGAGGAAATTTTCCCACCGGTTAATCGACGTGTAACAACATGGATAATACCGGTATCACCGTGGAGGCGTTTCCTCTTTTCCTCACTTTCCTTCGCTTTTAAATAGCTCGTAAAAGCGGCGTGCGCATTTTAGTTTCACGTAAAGCAATTGTTTGTTTGAACTTTCCCTCTTTTCCTCGCTTCCTTCGCTTTTAAATAGCTTAAAAGCACCATGCACATTTTACTTTCACTTTCAAATTAGCATCAATTCGGCGTCAGTTGCTTGAATGCAACAACAAAATACAATGTCAAACTCACTTTAGCCTATATATAAAATATAGAACTTTTATTAACAAAACGAATAAAAACACACCATGCTATAGGACAGGCTATGCCTAATATAAAATAGCAAATAACTTACATAAAGTTTAAATAGGTAGCCTATACAAAACTGGAAATAAGTAAACATGCATAATATATAACCAAATAAATAAGAAACGTAGAAAGTTTATTATCAAAACGAGTAAGAAAGCTTGGAGGCACGGCACACCTTGATGTCAAATAAAATAAATAAATTACACAAAGTTTAAATAAAGTAAAAATCAGCAAACACTGTGGAACCAATTAAATAAGAAACGAATGTTTAAAAAAAACTACCAAAATCACCTTAGATAAACGGCAAAAGTCAACAGGCTTTTCAAAATCCAAAATACTGCCAAACAAGCGCTTTTGCATTTCGTTTCGAAACTAAATCATCCGCGATCGTCTTGTCTGTCTCACCCCACTCTTCTTGTCAGTCAGCTCAACCTGTGATGTGACTGTCGTTCGGCACGCTGCATTGAGCAGCCGCATTCAGTTTTTAATTGTAGTGTCTGTTCTTTTACTGAACTAAATGATTTTTATTACTATAAAAAAATCAAAACGGCGGTGGGGGTCGGTGCCGCGGTGGGCAAGTGACGTAACCGGTGTTGCGGCTTAACAATGTCAGCACCGTCTATCGCGGCAAGCCTATTTGGCAGTAGACATAAATGGGAAGTTGATTTGAATCGCAAGCTTTGTTTTTTGGCTTCACTGATAAGTTTCAGCATTTCCAGACTGTAAAACAGCTGAAGCGGAGGTCACATGGGCCATACCTTCTCATTGAGCATGTCGGGGTGCTCTGTGAGCCAGACGCACAGGCAGTGGAAAGCAGCAACGATCATGGAGTGCAGATCTCTGGAGTGAAGCGGAGCGGGACGACTGCACTGATACACGATATAACTGCACACGGAGCTGACGGCACGCTTACGATCCGACGACTCCACGCTCACCTTCACCTGGACAGAAAAACACATGCATTTTATGGAAAGTTGTACAAAAGTGGAATAATTATGATTTTTTTAATATATATATTTTTGAAAGAAGTCTCGTGCTCAGCAAGGCTGCATTTGTTTGTTCAAAAATAGAGTAAAAACAGTAAAATTGTGAAAAATTATTGCAATTTCAAATAACTGTTTTCTATGTGAATATCTGTTAAACTGTAATTTATTTCTGTGATCAAAGCGGAATTTTCAGCATCATTACTCCAGTCTTCAGTGTCACATGATCTTCAGAAATCATTCTAATATGCTGATTTGCTGCTCAAGAAACATTTCTGATTATTATCAATGTTGAAAACAGTTGTGCTGCACAATATTTTTGTGGAAACTGTGATGCATTTTATTTTTCAGGAATAGAAAGTTCAAAAGAATGGCATTTATTTGAAATATAAATCGTTTGTAACATTATAAATGTCTTTACTGTCACTTTTAATCAATTTAATGCATCCTTGATGAAAAAAAAAAAAAATCCCCAAACCCCATACTTTTATTAGTGTAACTGTTTTCAACATTGATAATAATCAGAAATGTTTCTTGAGCAGCAAATCAGCATATTAGAATGATTTCTGAAGATCATGTGACACTGAAGACTGGAGTAATGATGCTGAAAATACAGCTTTGATCACAGAAATAAATTACATTTTAAAATAATTCATATAGAAAACATTTAATTTAAATTGTAATAATATTTCACAATTTTTACTGTATTTTTCACTAGGGCTGGGTATGGTTTAAAAATTTTCGATATCGATACCTTGACGTTGATACCGGTTCCTGAACGATACTTTTTTCGATACCAATCAATTTGAACAAGATTACATTATCTAAAAAAAAAAAAAAAAAAACTTTGGTTTTATTTTTCAGCTTGTTG